GCACTCTATCCAAGTTACTGAGATCTGTGCTCTTCTGGCTCTCAGCTGTTTCTCAAATCTTTGTTTTCCCAGTGCCCTGCTAAGAGGTTCAATACCTAAGAGAACAACACACTGAAACAAGCGGACAGTGTTAAAGGAAAAAATAGAAGATTTTTCTAGTTTAACACAAGCAGTCTTTGAAGCTACACAGTCTAGATGTCTAGGAACTAGTATTTCCTCTTTTCCAAAACTATTGTTTGCATCATTCAGTTTAGCCAGATAGCAGATTTTTGTGGCCACACAAATCCTCATTCTTTCCTCACCCCTGGCCCCAGTTCTGACAGAGAACTGAGATCTATAACCAGAAATAAATGAAAGCAGACATAAGGTGACCCTACATGAGAACTCATCAGCCTTCCCTTCCGCCCTTTCCCCATGTCCCCACTTCACTCACTAATCCCATCTATATAACTACAGGGAGAGACCTGCTTCCTTCCTTACCCTCCACACCAAACAATCTGTCTCATCACTCCATTCCACGTTTTTCATGCACACACTCTATAATAGTCACCTTCATCTGGCACTGCACTTGGCTTACCTTACCTGGTCTCTGCTCGTAGTGCTAGCTCTCGTCAACTCTCCTAACAGGTGCCAGAGATAACCCTTCTAAAAATGCAGTCATACCCCCTCATCTCAGGGTAAAGTCCACAGTTCTCTATAGGACAATAAGCCTTTTTGTGGGCTAGCCTCCACTCTGCCTACCTTACCAGTCTTATCTTACCATATCCCCTCATCTGAGGCTTTATGCTTGCCCTGAAAATCTTAAGGAATGTATTTAACTCCTCAGGGCCTATTTCCTCACCTACAGGATGGTAGTAAGAACTTTAGCAATCCTTTAGGGTAGTTACAGGAGTAAGATAAATGTTAAATGCCTAGAATTGTACCTGATACAGTAAATGGCCAAAATTCTCACCTATCATCATCATAAAAATCTCTAGAATTAAAGCTCTTTCTGCCGTCAACAGTCTTCTCTGTCTTCCCTGGCTCACCAAATCTCATCTTCCCGGCTTATGTTTAGGCCTACCCAGCTTCTTCAAAGCAGCCCTCTCTGGCCTGCTAATGCTGGGTTAGGTGTCACTCTTCCAAGCCTGCATAGTCCTGTCCTTGCCACACTTCTCATGCCAGTTTCTTTGCCCTCTATTAAGTTATATGTGCCCAAATCTCAAGCTTAGCACCATGCTTAGTAAATACCTGGAAACTGCTCTGTGAGAACAGGCATGTTGATGCTTCTTGTAATTCTAGGCTGAGGCAGGAATATTCCAAGTTTCAAGCCAGCCTTAGCTACATAGTAAGATCCTATCTCAGAAAACTAAAAAAAAAAAAGTCCAGGAAAACTTTCCAATAATGGATGAAGTATCCAGTGAAACAGCAAGTTGGACTGTTAGGTGGCTGGTCTAAATAACTATATGGCCCTAACAACTATAAGCCTCTATCTAAGCTGGGGGACCTAGTTCTGTGGTAGACGGTTTGCCTTAAATGCATAAAGCCCCATGTTCAATCTCTAGCACCACAGGAAGAAAAAAAAAAAAAAAAGGCCACTTTATCCATTAACTATTCTGCATGCTATGACCTCAAGAAGTTGGATTTCAGTATGTAGGCAACGTGGGCTATCAATCAGCTTTAGAGAAGACAACATAAATCAGGTTTATTTCCTATTCCTCACCTCTGAAACAGGCTCTGCTCCAAAACCGTGCTACCTACCATCAGAACAAAATTCCAACCAACTTTCATAAATATATAAACACTCTTAGTGTTATATATCCAAAACACTAAGACACAGAAACAGATGAACCAGAATAAATCGTGAAACGTGTAACTCCACCCTAACCAATGGCAGTGAGGATCCACAAACACTTCTAAAACTCCAGACTCCAAATGCTAATCCTTTTTGTGTGCCTTTAAGGAAAGACAGGAACAGAAAGGGAGCCTGTCATTGAGGTAATCCACTTAATCGCCTCTGAGGAGTTTTGAGCCAAAGTGCTGTCACAGTACTGCTATTCCTGATCACTACCTATCCATATGCCCAAACCCTAGATCACCAGAAAAGCATGTGCAAACAGTAAGAGGATGTGGAGTTATCTGGGTTCTAGTTCAAGGATTAAAAAAAACAGTCTCTTCTGAAGATACAGGGGCTAGCACAACCCAGAAGAGGTTTCAGCAACAGGAACTTAGAACTGGGGAACAGTGTTACCAAAGTAACAAGCAGGCCTGGATTGGGGCTTAAAGCCACTCCTTGCTGCAGAGAATAAATCACTTTGCATTTACTGAACAACATGAAATAAAGGAAGGCAATGCTAGCTTTGCCAGTCACAAAAGGACAAACACTGCATGACTTCACTCTGTGAAGGTCCTACAGAAGTCAAATTTACAGACACAAAGTAGAATGGTATTTGACAGGAGAACACGGAGGAAGGGTTTAACAGGTAGTTTCTGGTGGGGAAGGTAAAGTATTTTGGAGATTCTAGCAGCACAACAGTATGAATGTACTTAATCCCAAAGAACTGCACATTGTCATAAAGGCAAATTTTTCAAATACAATATATATGTAAATAAGCTGACACCACAATTTTAAAAAGCATCCCAATTTTAAAATTACAGTCTACAGTGGTGAATCAGGCTTGGCCACTTACCAACTGCATGGCCCTGAACAAGTCATTCAACCTCTCTAAGCCTGTTTCTTCTGTGAAGCACGAATACGTAGTTCATAGATTGCTCCAATGATTTAAATTATGTGCTGCACTGAAAGTCTTCAATCTAGTGGCTAATTAATAAACGTAGCTGTTATCATTATGCAACGAGCACTTTCACAACCATTTTCTCATAGCCCCACAGCAACCCTATGTGTTTACACATAAGGAAACAGACTCAAAGGGCCACAATGTGTGGCCTCAGCTCCTTGTACAGAGAGGTTGTTCTCAATACTTGACAAATTCTGTGATCCTAAGGCATATGTCCCAAACTTGTCTCCATTGCCTTACACTAAAAATGCATAATCCAAGCTCTGCAAACTCCTTCCGTACTAGATTAGAAACCAGATAATGGTTACAGAAGAGTACTGTAAGCCATAAATAAAAGATAAAACAAAAGTGTAAGAAAACTTGGACAGCTGTACTTTTAAAGTTAAAAATGAGGTGCACAAAGTGGCTGGGGCTACACAACTTCTTTGAGGTGTCCAATTTCCTAAATTGATCTTGAGGCCTGATAAGTAGTTTAAGAAATGGCAAAGTATGGGAGGAAAAAAAATAACTTTTTAATGGAGTGGAAGACTACTGGGAATTCTAGTTCTGTCACCAGGTAGTCTGTTTTCTTTGACAAACGTCCTGTTTCCAAAGTTTGGTTAAAAGGAAAAAGGGGATGGTCTGTAGGGCCACCAACCTCCTATACACCACCCCTCCTAAACCTGGACTCTGGGGAGACAGGAAAAGCAGACCTACCACCACCAGGCCCAAAGAACTAATGCAAACATCAGAGATTCACTCAAGTCATTTTTTTTTTGGGGGGGGGGTTGTGTTTTTTGGGTTTTGTTTTTTTAAGATAGTCCCCCACAACCAAAATTAAACATTGCAAAACCAGAGCACTTGGAAAAGTTAATTTTATTTCGCTTAAACCCTCTGAGCCTTATCTAAAAACAAGAGAAATAAAAACACTATAAGGAGCCGTGGAAGATGATGATTTGAGCCACCCACATCCCTTGACCTTCCAACTAAGATTTATAGTGGACATACAAGATTGGGGGTGGGGGGAATAGCATGCCATAAACAAAATAAAGGATGGACCTCACTTGAGCGCCTTAAGGTTCCTCAAGGCAAACACCACTGAGCCTCACATGTTAGAGACCTGGAGTTCTCTGCAATCATCAACACCTAACCATGACACCAGCATGAAATTAATCCTAATGACCATTCTCCAAGAGTTCTAGTTGAACCAGAATGGGCTTTTATCCACAGCAGAGTGGGCAATGACCCACCAATCAGGGAGAACCCAGAGCTATGTTTCTTAACGGTGTGACCTACCTAACAGTCAATCAAAGTGCCCTCTGCACTAAGAGATGCCACATGCTTATACCAGAAAATAAGTAACAGGTCCCACCGCACTGGTTTCCAATTCCATTACTGTTTCATTTCTCTGCGCCCTGATTTCGGCTTCTGTAAATAGGGACCACCCTCGAGGACCTCTGTGAGCATTAAATGACACTCGAAGTTCCCGAGGGAGTCTCCTGAAACGTTATCTGTTGGCATTAGACACTTTCACATTATTAGTTCCCTCTCTGGATGCACGAACGCCCTGAGAGAGCGGACTCCCTCCCTGACCCCATTCCAGCCAGGGGAAAGCAGAGGCGCGGCAGCTCTGGCGGCTGGAGTTTAGTGTGGGATGGGGGCCCTGCTGCAGACGCGAACCCCCAGGCTTGAACCCAACCCCGAGGATTCACGGGTGGCGGCCGAGGCGCTCAGACCATGGGGAGAAGAACCGCAGGACCCGTTTGGCGCGCCCCGGGGAACCCAAAGATGCCGCTCGAGCGGGAAAGCCGGAAGCGGCCCCGGGCCGCGCCGAGGCTGGAGCCAGGGCCCGGGCCCGTCCGAGGCCTCCCCGGCGCGGCCTCCGCTCCCTCTCCTCCGCCCCTCGCCAGCCGGGGCGGGGCGCGAGCACAAAAGGCTCCAACTTCCGAGAGACCACGGCCCACCCCCAACTCCTGACCCGGGCCCGGCCGCGGGCAAGCGAACGCCGGGCGGCCAGCAGCGGGTACGGGGTGAGGAGGGGGGGGGCGAGCCAGGGCGGCGGGACCAGGGAGTGGGGAAAGGCAAGAGCCCGGCGGCCCTGAGTTAGTCCGACTCCCGGGAATCCAGGAACGGCCGCAGAAAGAGTTTCTAAAAATAGGCGGCGGCCCGCCCCGAGAGGTGCGGAATCCGGAGGCACGAGGGGCACCGCGCCCGCACTCCGGGAGACGCGCGGCCCCCACTCACCCACGCCGAGGTCTAGAGAGGCCGCGCGGCGTAGAGGGCGGCCGCACCCGGGGGCCCGAAGGCGGGGAAGGCGGCCCGGGCCGCTGGGAGCCCGACCCGCGCGGAGTCGCCGCGGCGTCCACCCTCTCAGCGCCCGCCGCTCCACGTTCCGCACCCCGCGCCGCTCGCGCGCCCCGCCGCACTGACAGAGCCGGAGACCCGCAGCCGCCTGTCCTCCCCCTCGGCCGCCACCACTCCGGCGTGCCGGGGAGGGATGCGTCCGGGGAGGCTGCTTTCTGCCTCGCCCCGCCCGCTGCTTCGGCAGGGACCTCTGCCTGGCCCCGGCTCTCGTCTTGGCTCTCTCGGGAAGGCTGCGGCGCCCGGAGCACGGAGCCCGCAGCGCCGCCTGTTTACTGCCGGGGCCCCGCAGCCCGCACCCCCGCCCCCAGCCAGGCTTTGGAAAGGTCCAGCGCTTCGGCGCGGAGAGCAGGCGGGCGGGGCTGGGGCGGGCCTAGCAGAGAGGCGGGACGAAGGCGGGGCTCGGGGAGAGGAGCCAGGCTCTTCCTGCAGCCTGGAGCTCTGGGCGGGGTGGGTGCGAGGATGGAGATGCCCTAGGGAGAGAGACGCGGGGTTGGCGGAGACGGCTGCCAGGGCGAAGCAGGGGAGGGGGCTGTGGGCGGAGGCAAAGGAGCGTGTGCCCAGAGGAGGAGCCCCGGGGTCGAGAGCCCTACCAAAGCAGGGGCGGTGCTCTGAGATGCCCATGACAGGCCTGGAGGAGGCAGGCCTGGAAGCACAGCGGGAGGAGGGGGGTCCAGGGTAGACCCTGTGGGGAGAAGCCGGAAGGGGGCGGACCCTAAAGGAGGAGCGAGTGGCTTGAGGTGGGCGAGGCCTGGAGATGGGGTGGTGGGGACGTCAGGTAAAAGAGCTGGGTCCTTGCACTAGGTGAGGATTGTTGCTCACCGCGAAGGCTGGGACTTTAGGGAGGCTGCGGTGTGGGTGTCCTGGGTACCACTCTAGAAACAAAAAGCTTAAGTAGCTTTGCCTGTATGGGATGAAATTTTTTCTGAAGCTGGGCGGTGGATCTCCCTCCTGAACAGTTCCCGGGTCAGGATCTCCCACTTGAATCAGTGTTCCAGTTGCCAGGATTTCCCACCCACATCCCAACTCTGCCCTCTCTAGACCCACAGTGGTGTCTTCTGAGAGCACAAGAGGACCACTGTCAGCTACAGACCTCTCTGAAGGCTGGGAACCTCCTGGAGTACCCATCCCCTACTGACCTGTGGGTTCATAACTTTTGGGAGGGGGATAGGAGGGTAGGAGGGTTAAGACAAGATCTCAGGTAGCCATGGCTGGCCTTGAACTTGCTATATAACCAAGGATGATCTTGAACTCATGATCTTCCAGCTTCTACCTTCCAAATGCTAGGTTGATAGGGATATGCTATGACATTTGTTCATGGTGGTAGTGAATTTATGTATTTGTGTTTTATGTGTATAAGTGTTTTGCCTGCATGTATCTCAGAGCACCAAATGTGTGCAGTGATCAGGGAGGCCAGAAGAGGACTTTGGAGTCCCTGGAACTGGAGTTAAGGATGGTTGTTAGCCACCATGTGAGTGCTGGGACCCGAACCCAGGTCCTCTATCAGACCAACCTGTGCTCTTAACCACTGAGCCATCTCTCATCTCTCCAGCCCCTGTTGTTTTCTTCTGTTTAATGTGGTGTTGGAGATCAAAAACCAGGGCTTCATCCATGCTAGGCTGCTAGGCAAGCACTACTGTACTGAGCTACATTCCTAGGTAGCCCTTTTTTTTTTTTTTTTTTTTAAAGACAAGGTCTCACTTCGTAGTTGATGCTGCCTTCCAGCTCACTGTCCTCTTCTTCAGAGTCCCAGGTACTGGTCATGATTATGATTTTCGTGTGGCTTCCCCTGCCCAAGAGTCAGGATTCCTAAGAATGGAGCAGTTTGAATTAACCAGCGGAGTGCCTTTCTGTTGTTCGATGGACCTCATGCCTGTCTTTGAAAGAAAGAGAAATGGCATTAGAGACATGATGACACTGGAGAGCAAAGCCTGGAACATTATTCCCCTTAAGTCTCTGCCCAAATATCACCTCAGAAAGATCTCCCTGTACACACATTTTTTAAATGTTTTTGTCTTCCCCACTCAATATAATTTCCATGAAACTAAAAATTGAGGCGGGTGCATGCACATTTGTATCGTATAGTGGTGCACACACATGAAGCCAGAGCAGGAGCCAGATGTGTTTATGTTTTCTCACTAAACTGGAAGCTTCCCATTTCAGTTAGGCTGACTGGCCAGTGTGCTCTTAGAATCCATCTTCTCCATCCCAGCTTGTAACCAATGCTGGGGTTACAAGCAGGCACAGAGATGCCAGGCTTTTTATGTGGGTGCCAGGGATTCAAACCTCGGTCCTTATGCTTGCGTTCTTACCAACTCAGCCATTTACTCAGCCATCTACTACAGGATTTTTTTACTCTTGTGTACATCACTGTGTTTCAAGATCTAAGACAATGCCTGACACATACATACATACCCTAGCGTTCAATCAATCCAGTGCCTACTGTACTTCTTGCCTTTCCCCAGTTCCTCACTTCTCTATGCACTAGCCTTACCAGATTTGCTTGATAATTCCAATCTCTCAACACCTTCTGTTATGGTGTTTTCATTTCTCCACTTCTCTCCAGATACCTCCAGTTCATCCAGTACTCAGCTCAGGAACCCCCTCCTCTGAGAAGCCTTCTCTGAACTTTCAGCCCCAGATGAGCAAGTTACAGCTGTCACTGGTCTGTTCTTGGCTTCCATTATAGAATTTGCTTATGCAGGTGATGTCCTGTTCCCTGCTGACACTGAGAATTATGTTCACACTGTACAAAGTCCTGTGTAACCTCTCGCCTGCTACCCTTCTAATGCCATCCCCTATTAGTCTCCTATTTTGCTCCAGGTACATTTTGACCTTTTTCCAGGTTTTCCTGCATACCACACTATACTGCTTCCTCAGGACCTTTGCAGTTGCTGTTGTGCTGCCTCGGCCTCAAATATTCCTCTCCCAAAATTTGGTATGGCTCACTCCTCACCATCCTCAGAAGCCTTACCTGGCCGCATTTAAGATTGCAACATTTCCTTCTTCTTCATCCCCCTCACGCTGGCTTTTTCTCCGTAGCTCTGTCCCATCCAAAATCTGTCTGAAATTTGTTTGTCTCTCTCCCATACCCATCTTCCACTTGTGTGATCTCCACAAGGACAGTCTGTTTGGCTCACTCCTCAGGGCCTAAGACACTAGGCCTCGTTTAATGTTTGTTTTATGATTCATTACAACTAATTCAACTGAGAAATGTCAAGAAGACGCTCAGGATTGTCTAAAAGAATCTCAGATTTCAGTATGAAGGGAGATGTTTCTAAGGAATATGAGGGCAATGCTAACTAACATTTATGGAGCACTTACTAGTTGCTAGGCAGTGTAGTGACTGCTTTTCAAATGTATTTAATCCCAATAATCTTAGGAGATAAGGACTATTAAAAACTCTATTGAACAGACAAGAAAACAGTTACAAAGAGGTTAATTTTCCCAAAACCATACAGCTAGGAAACAGTGGGGTCCAACTTAAGAGCCTGCATGCTAAATGACTATTCTGTCTCCTTCCTAGTTGCTAAGAACCCAGGGTTATCAATAAAAGGGAAGAATGAGGAAGAGATATTTTTGTTTCCTGGATAGTGTGGTCTAGTATGATGCCTAGAGTTACACAAAATGTTTTTTTCCAGTTCCATGAGGGAACACAGCCAGAAGACAAAACCTGATAGGAGGACAGAACCTAGAAAACATCTCAAAAAAAAAATGGTCTTGAAATTATTCAAAGCTTTTCTTCTGAGCCTTTTTTGGGGGGTGGGTGTGTATGTGTGGGTGTGTGTACATGTTCATGGAGGCCATAGTTTGACATTGGGTAAGGTCTTCTTCAACCCCTTCCCATCTCATTTTTTTTTCACTTTTTTTTTTTTTTTTTTTTTTTTTTTTTTTTTTTTCCCAGCCCACCTGAAACTCACTATGTAGACTAGGCTGGCTTTGATCGCAGTGATCCACCTGCCTCTGCCTCCCAAGCTGGGATTAAAGGCGCATGCCACACCCAGCATTCATTAATCACATTTGGGGGGGCTCTTTTTTGAGACAGGGTCTCCCTGTAACACCAGCTGTCCTGGAACTATGTAGACCAGGCTGGCCTTGAACTCACAGAGATCCGCCTGCCTCTGCCTCCTGAGTGCTGGGAGTAAAGGCATGTGCTACCATGCCTGGCTTTTTTTTTTTTTTTTAACTTATGTTAGCACTTATTTTATGCCAAGTTTATTCCTGTACCCTAAGTTTTTGTTTCTTCGGTTTCTTCTGTGCAGCCTCTTCCTTTGGTTTAGGAACAGTGTGCTCTTTTTCACTGAGGCTCATCCCAATTAGGCAGAGGGGAGCTCATGTATGAGTTAATCTGATCATGAGCTCTGTAAGTTCAACAGTGCATCTTGGGTGCTTAGATATGTGCAATGACTAGAGAGTCTACATCCAGAACCTTGAGTTCAGCATTACTCTCTACATTTTTAGTTACATGCAGCAAACATTCAGCATTCTTTTTGGGCCACCGACCCTGACTCTGTGTCTAACCCTACTGTTTGGCCTGGGCACACCTACCGACTCTACCATTATACCACCAGACTGCCATACATTGCTTCTTTATTTTTTGTTGCTTTGGTTTGGTTTGGAGACTTTTGAAAGAGGGCCTCACTCTGTAGCACTGACTGGCCTAGGACTTGCTATGTATATCAGGCTGACCTAGAACTCACAGAGATCCACTATCCTCTGCCTCCCAAGTGCTCAAATTAAAGGTATGTGCTACTATACATGGCCTACACTGCTTCTTTAAAGTACCATCTTTCAGAAACTTGGTGGCTTTTCAGATATGCATACCCTTAATGGCCAGGGCAGTACCATAAGTATGCTTTTATTGTTGTTGTTTTAAGACAGGGTCTCCCTGTAGCCCCAGCTGACCTGGAACTCACTATGTAGACCAGGCTGGCCTCAATCTCACAGAGATTCATCTGCCTCTGCCCCCCAAGTGCTGGGATTAAAAGTGTATACCACCACATCCAGCTTTCACACATATTCTTAACACAAACATGAAGATTTGAACTTCTTGCATGATTTTGTAGGATTTTCTTGGTCAAGAAAATTTAAAAAAAAAATTCATAGATTACCTCAGGCCACTTACAAGAAGAGTCCTACCTTATTTTTTGAGACTGAGTCTCTTAAAAACCTGGAACTCAATTTGGTAAGACCAGCTGGCCAAAAAACTCATGGAATTCTCCAGTCCCTCTCTACCTTCCCAGGACTGGGGTTACAGATATGTGCTGCTGCACTTAGATTTTTATGTGGGTCCTGTGGACCCA